TCTCTAACATTTTAAAAAACAGCAAGGAAACCTTTTTTCCCCCATACTAATGTAACTGAACTAGGCTATAATATTGTTATAGTTTATTTAGGGATATGTAGGCTACTTAAATTTATTTTTATAAGATTTGAAGGAGACAAAGCTTATAAAAACTATGGCTCACAGCTGTAACCCAGCTTCTTTAATGAAAGGTTATAAGTGGATCATGTGTGTAAAACACTACAAGAAATGAATTCTGATTTAAAATCTAAACCATCAGATTTATGTAGCTGAAGCAGTTTTATTAAATCTGCATTGAGCATTAAAGTCATGTGATAACTATAGGTGTGATCCTCTAGCTATTTCAGGCACAAAAGACCAGATCCAAAGCATACTGAGATAAATGAAAATCATTTCCTTGACCTCAGTGACCTTTGGACCAGGCTCTGAAATCTTATTGAATTTACCAAATGTAATTTGGGTACTTTGGCCACAGATCTTCCACAAACTTCCTTGGCTTGACTCACACCATTACTACCACCAGTGGAGCTATGCTAATAGAAAATTGTAAGTCCTATTTGTGCTTTTGTAGATCCTCCATGAATGAATCTACTCCTTTCTTGGAGGTAGATTCCAAAGGGTAATGCTGTGTAATTGCTCTTATATGGCAGGTTTCTGTCTTGTCACGCTCCTAAATGAGGCCATTAGGAAGTTTAGTAAGGAAACATGGCCTTTGGTGGCTTCACCCTGCTTATCTTCATCTGTCTTATCTGGCTACCATGGTGGAAAGAATGAGCCAGGCTTTGAATGAGATTGGGGTTTGCTGCCTGAAGAAGACAAGACTGTCAGAGACAATTGAGGTCATGCTGTTCTGTTGGAGAAAAGCTGGTGAAGATTATATCAGTGCCCATTTGCTGGAGACAAGTATCAGGTGGTATCCGGGTTAGTATGTATCCACAAAAACAACAAGGAGTCCGGTGGCACCTTAAAGACTAACAGATTTATTTGGGCTTAAGCTTTCATTGGTAAAAAACGACTTCTTCAGATGCATGGAGTGAAAATTACAGATGCAGGCATTATATACTGACACATGAAGAGAAGGGAGTTACCTCACAAGTGGAGAACCAGTGCTGACAGGGCCAATTTGATCAGGGTGGATGTAGTCCACTCCCAATAATAGATGAGGAGGTGTCAATTCCAGGAGAGGCAAAGCTGCTTTTGTAATGAGCCAGCCGCTCCCAGTCCCTATTCAAGCCCAAATTAATGGTGTTAAATGGTGGAGAGTATCCACCATTTGTTACACAGAATTGCAACGTGGCAGTCTTGGATGCTCAGGTAGATGTTGCTGCTAAAAATTCTATTTTTCATCTGCACCTGCTGAGTCAAGGGCAGCCTTATCTTTTTGATGTGGACTGTGTTACAGTTATTCTTGCCTTTTTTCACCTTGTGATTAGATTAATGTCATACACTCAACATTAAACTGAACCTTGGGACAATTTGGAATCCAAGTGGTTGCCTGCATATTAAGCATGGCTTCATGTAGAGATCACAATACACTGGGACTCCACAGTCTGCACTAGTTTGCATGCAGATCTTACACTGTTGATTTTAACCTATTAATCCCTGGCTGCCTAGGAAACTGCCCCACTTTCCAGGTGATTGGGTAAGGAGGGAGGCAGGGAGGGGTAGCTCAGTGGTTTGAGCATTGGCCTGCTAAACCCAGGGTTGTGAGTTCAATCCTTGAGGGGGCATTTAGGGATCTGGGGCAAAAATTGGGGATTGGTCCTGCTTTGAGCAGGGGGTTGGACTAGATGACCTCCTGAGGTCCTTCCAACCCTGATATTCTATTATATCAACAGAGTTGTGATCAGTGGATTAATTTAAATTATCAACCCCATGGAATAGAATGACCTGGTAAGAAACAGTTACCCCGTACAGGGTTTCATCCCTGGAACTCATTCACCACTTGGCCCAGATTTGCTAACTTTCTGGGCATATTGCAAATCCTTTTTCTTTCAGAGCAAGCAGATGAGGGATATAGTGTGGTTAGAAGCTCGGGCTGGGATTACAAAGTAGTTGAAGGGAGATAGTCTCCCAAATTCCATTAACATTCCTTACTTACCTCTCTAAAGATCTTCTGAAAATTCCATGCTGGGTTATTTGACTATTATTTTATCCAAGTATTAATACAACATTGTATGGGTAGCTCATGTGAACGTTTAAGGATTTTATTTTTGGTGTTATATAATGTGTAAATCTAGGAATACATGCTTTAAAAGGTCAACATAAATCTCTCACATTCAAATATTGACATAATCGGGGTGACCGTGAAAGAGCTTCTCTAGCAGAGTTCATAACTCCCTTGAACAATCTGTATGCACATCCATCTTTGAAAACACCACATTAACCAAACTTTCTTCTGAGTCTGCACATTTCACATATTCATAACTTTACCTTAACATTCTTATCCAGACTTAGCAAAGTAAATCTTCCCCATGAAATTATTTACATGCCAAGTAAGAATTATCTAAATGCAGTTACTTCTGAGTAACTCCTCATCCTCCGTTGTTCCCTATTCCCTATAAAAGGGATCACACATTTTTAAAGCAGCATATTTTGTTTTCATTGTATTGTGCGGGTTTTTTTTCTTTTTCCCTTATCCTGGCAGATCTGATTAAAACTAGCCTGAGTCGTTCCTCTTCAGACAAATAGTAGGCATGGCAAAATTCTGCCAAAAAAGTGAATTCTTGGAGTGGGGGAGGATAGTTTTTCTTACATAACTAGAGAGGAAACTACCAGTTTGACTGGTAGATCAGTCAATCTGCTCTCAGAACATTTAATCAAATCACCATTTTGTTTTACCATTACATATCTGTTTTCTGCATTTTTTCAACCAATACTAAAGAAGTTGGAAACCAGTTTACAGTAAGTTTCCATAAAGCCTTATAGTCTCTATTATTTCCTCCTCCTTGTTGGTAAGAAGTAGATCTAAGAAGACTTCTCCTCTGATTAGATTATCTCTTTGCTGATTTATGAAGGCTTCCTCTACATAAATTAGGAAACTTTTTGATGTTCAGCTACACTTGTCCCCCTAATCACCCCAAATAGCTCACTAATTAAAGTTCAATAGAGATGATAGAACTGTTGTAAAAATAAATATTAATTCTTGGAGTGGAAATCCTGTAGGACCAGCCTATAGTTCAGTCTTGCTGGGATGTAGATTTATAAAATTGGTGCCTCTGAAGCCTGGACATCAGTATCCCCATCTCCAAGTATTCAAATATCTTCAGTCAGGCCATGCAAAATTGGCTTAGAAATAATGAGATTGTTTACAATGATTTTTAAAAAAATCCTTTTGGTTTTTGAGTCTTTAGAATTCATACTTTCCCACATTTTTCTGCTACCATAAGGGCTAGAAAGGAACTTTTAAAAGAGACATCTGAGATTTGCAATGTCATACTATCCCAAGAGCTGGGGATGTAAGAAAATGACCAGATATCATGAGATTCACAATAAAAACAAGAGAGATGACACCACTGGGTCATTCTTCAGATAATTAGACAAGAATGTCAGATCATTAGGTTTCATTAAGCAGAGGTACTAAATAAAGCCTTTATCCTGCAGTTGGAGCTACATGTGGCTCCAATCTACCAGCATGGCCCCATTGACTCTACCTGGAACTTGCTGCAGAATCAGGGCCTAAATCTGTATCTTGAGCATCACAAGCAACTGTACAAGTAACCGATCCCAAAGCCAATATACACCTAAGCTCAGATCAAATGGATGAGACCTAAATTCCCTTTATTCACCAATGCTGATTGTAAAGAGAGGGAGACCAAAAAAATGAACTAATTCAAAGATGTTCAATGTAGTCCCATAGTAGGTTACAGCTGAGCCAAAAGGATCAACAATGTCAAACATTGGCCAAAGGTCTGAAAAGGTCTTGATCTTGCAAGTTGCTAAGCACCCTTGCCCTGATCCTCCAAAGCATTTAGTATATGAGTAGTCTGATGGACTTCAATGGATCTATTCTTGTGCCTAAATGTAAGCATATGCTTATGTGCTTTGCAGGACTGGTTCCAGAGTGCATAGTGTCTTGCAAGATGGAGCCCATGAAAGAAAATTCACATTACTAGCAACTATGAGATGACTGTAAACCTTTAGCAATATCCTTTCCAGTATTGTGGTGTATATAAAATCTGAATTGAACTGTAAACAGTTTTTTCCTCAGCTAAAATGTGTAAATTATGACCTGGATGGTTATTAGACAAATCATCTGCAGACAAAAGGATTTTTTTTAAATAAAAGAATTAGTATAGCCTGGTTCAAATTGTTTTGGAATCATCCCAGATCCAAGAGAGCAATTCACAATTCTCAGGATAGCATGACCGAGAAAAGGCAGGCATTCTTTTAACAACCATGTTGGAACTGGATCAAGTAAACATGTAGTTGGCTTTAAACTCTGCACTATCTCAAAATGTCAGACAAGGATACCTGAAAAAAATGCTTCTAGAGTATCCAATAAAAAAGCATTAAAGATCCTTTGCCTTCAGTGGTAGACAGTTATATTTTAACATTGCAACTGTATCCAAAAATCTATACAAATTATTACAACCTATCTTCAATGAAATAAAAATGTCCTTGACCAGTCTCTTGCTTAAGAAGCATCTCAATGCTCCAGAAAAGGACATCAGAATGATTCTGTACCATACTCTTCTTCCTTTGTGATAGCCAAGGTCTTACAATATTCCAACATTCCTGATCTCCTTGCTTCAGCAAAAGTTTGTAGGCCATTTGGTCTCCTTGGATTGTAGGTGGTAATATTTTTCTTTAAAAATGCTGTTAAAGGAAGGATATTCAAAGGAAAATACTGAGGGACATTCAAACTTGTATGTGTGTGTGTAGGGACCATTGAGTCCAATTTATCATTTTCAGATATATGAAAGGTATGAACATCAGGAGGAGGATGTTTAAAATGGTACAAAGTGATATTCTGAAGTAGCCATCTATCTATTTTAGCCCTGGTCTACACTAGGACTTTAGGTCGAATTTAGCAGCGTTAAATCGATTTAAACCTGCACCCGTCCACACAATGAAGCCCTTTATTTCGACTTAAAGGGCTCTTAAAATCGATTTCCTTACTCCACCCCTGACAAGTGGATTAGCGCTTAAATCGACCTTGCCGGCTCGAATTTGGGGTACTGTGGACACAATTCGATGGTATTGGCCTCCGGGAGCTATCCCAGAGTGCTCCATTCTGACCGCTCTGGACAGCGCTCTCAACTCAGATGCACTGGCCAGGTAGACAGGAAAAGAACCGCGAACTTTTGAATCTCATTTCCTGTTTGGCCAGCGTGGCAAGCTGCAGGTGACCATGCAGAGCTCATCAGCACAGGTGACCATGATGGAGTCCCAGAATCGCAAAAGAGCTCCAGCATGGACCGAACGGGAGGTACGGGATCTGATCGCTGTTTGGGGAGAGGAATCCGTGCTATCAGAACTCCGTTCCAGTTTTCGAAATGCCAAAACCTTTGTGAAAATCTCCCAGGGCATGAAGGACAGAGGCCATAACAGGGACCCGAAGCAGTGCCGCGTGAAACTGAAGGAGCTGAGGCAAGCCTACCAGAAAACCAGAGAGGCGAACAGCCGCTCTGGGTCAGAGCCCCAAACATGCCGCTTCTATGATGAGCTGCATGCCATTTTAGGGGGTTCAGCCACCACTACCCCAGCCGTGTTGTTTGACTCCTTCAATGGAGATGGAGGCAATACGGAAGTAGGTTTTGGGGACGAAGAAGATGATGAGGAGGAGGTTGTAGATAGCTCACAGCAAGCAAGCGGAGAAACCGGTTTTCCCGACAGCCAGGAACTGTTTCTCACCCTAGACCTGGAGCCAGTACCCCCCGAACCCACCCAAGGCTGCCTCCTGGACTCAGCAGGCGGAGAAGGGACCTCTGGTGAGTGTACCTTTTAAAATGCTATACATGGTTTAAAAGCAAGCATGTGAAAGGATTACTTTGCCCTGGCATTTGCGGTTCTGCCTTTGCAAAAGGTTTCTGGGGAGGGCAGCCTTATTTCGTCCTTCATGGTAGGACACTTTACCACTCCAGGCCAGCAACACGTACTGGGGAATCACTGTAGAACAAAGCATTGCAGTGTATGTTTGCTGGCATTCAACCAAAATCCGTTCACGCGGTGGGAGGAGGCAAAATGCGACCTTGTAACGAAAGCACATGTGCTATGTATGTAATGTTAACAGCAAGGTTTACCCTGAAAGAGTGTAGCGACTGTTTTATAAAATGTGTCTTTTTAAATACCGCTGTCCCTTTTTTTTTCTCCACCAGCTGCATGTGTTTCAATGATCACAGGATCTTCTCCTTCCCAGAGGCTAGTGAAGCTTAGAAAGAAAAAAAACGCACTCGCGATGAAATGTTCTCCGAGCTCATGCTGTCCTCCCACACTGACAGAGCACAGACGAATGCGTGGAGGCAAATAATGTCAGAGTGCAGGAAAGCACAAAATGACCGGGAGGAGAGGTGGAGGGCTGAAGAGAGTAAGTGGCGGGCTGAAGACAGGGCTGAAGCTCAAAGGTGGCGGCAGCGTGATGAGAGGAGGCAGGATTCAATGCTGAGGCTGCTGCAGGACCAAACCAGTATGCTCCAGTGTATGGTTGAGCTGCAGCAAAGGCAGCTGGAGCACAGACTGCCACTGCAGTCCCTCTGTAACCAACCGCCCTCCTCCCCAAGTTCCATAGCCTCCACACCCAGACGCCCAAGAACGCGGTGGGGGGGCCTCCGGCCAACCAGCCACTCCACCACAGAGGATTGCCCAAAAAAAAGAAGGCTGTCATTCAATAAATTTTAAAGTTGTAAACTTTTAAAGTGCTGTGCTTAAAGTGCTGTGTGGCATTTTCCTTCCCTCCTCCACCACCCCTCCTGGGATACCTTGGTAGTCATCCCCCTATTTGTGTGATGAATGAATAACGAATGCATGAATGTGAAGCAACAATGACTTTATTGGCTGTGCAAGCAATGATTAAAGGGAGGAGGGGAGGGTGGTTAGCTTACAGGGAAGTAGAGTGAACCAAGGGGCGGGGGGGGTTCATCAAGGAGAAACAAACAGAACTTTCACACCGTAGCCTGGCCAGTCATGAAACTGTTTTTCAAAGCTTTTCTGATGCGTACCGCGCCCTCCTGTGCTCTTCTAACCGCCCTGGTGTCTGGCTGCGCGTAACCAGCAGCCAGGCGATTTGCCTCAACCTCCCACCCCGCCATAAACGTCTCCCCCTTACTCTCACAGATATTGTGGAGCACACAGCAAGCAGTAATAACAGTGGGAATATTGGTTTCGCTGAGGTCTAAGCGAGTCAGTAAACTGCGCCAGCGCGCCTTTAAACGTCCAAATGCACATTCTACCACCATTCTGCACTTGCTCAGCCTGTAGTTGAACAGCTCCTGACCACTGTCCAGGCTGTCTGTGTATGGCTTCATGAGCCATGGCATTAAGGGGTAGGCTGGGTCCCCAAGGATACATATAGGCATTTCAACATCCCCAACAGTTATTTTCTGGTCTGGGAATAAAGTCCCTTCCTGCAGCTTTTGAAACAGACCAGAGTTCCTGAAGATGCGAGCATCATGCACCTTTCCCGGCCATCCCACGTTGATGTTGGTGAAACGTCCCTTGTGATCCACCAGAGCTTGCAGCACTATCGAAAAGTACCCCTTGCGGTTTATGTACTCGGCGGCTTGGTGCTCCGGTGCCAAGATAGGGATATGGGTTCCGTCTATAGCCCCACCACAGTTAGGGAATCCCATTGCAGCAAAGCCATCCACTATGACCTGCACATTTCCCAGGGTCACTACCCTTGATATCAGCAGATCTTTGATTGCGTGGGCTACTTGCATCACAGCAGCCCCCACAGTAGATTTGCCCACTCCAAATTGATTCCCAACTGACCGGTAGCTGTCTGGCGTTGCAAGCTTCCACAGGGCTATCGCCACTCGCTTCTCAACTGTGAGGGCTGCTCTCATCTTGGTATTCATGCGCTTCAGGGCAGGGGAAAGCAAGTCACAAAGTTCCATGAAAGTGCCCTTACGCATGCGAAAGTTTCGTAGCCACTGGGAATCGTCCCAGACCTGCAACACTATGCGGTCCCACCAGTCTGTGCTTGTTTCCCGAGCCCAGAATCGGCGTTCCACAGCATGAACCTGCCCCATTAGCACCATGATGCATGCATTGTCAGGGCCCATGCTTTCAGAGAAATCTGTGTCCATGTCCTGATCACTCACGGGACCGCGCTGACGTCGCCTCCTCGCCCGGTATCGCGTTGCCATGTTCTGGTGCTGCATATACTGCTGGATAATGCGTGTGGTGGTTAATGTGCTCCTAATTGCCAAAGTGAGCTGAGTGGGCTCCATGCTTGCCGTGGTATGGCGTCCGCACAGAAAAAGGCGCGGAACGATTGTCTGCCGTTGCTCTGACGGAGGGAGGGGCGACTGACGACACGGCTTACAGGGTTGGCTTCAGGGAGCTAAAATCAACAAAGGGGGTGCCTGTACATCAAGGAGTATTTCAGGCAGGACTGCACGGAGGGTTCCAATAAGAAATGGTGCACCTAAGTTATCGTTGTTATTGGAACAAGGAGGTTAGCCTGGCCTCTGATTGATACATGGCTAGATTTACCTCGCTGCACCTTCTCTGTGAGTGACTGCAGTGTGACCTAGAGGAATGAGTCCCCTAGACAGGGGAGGAGGCAAATGAGTACAAAACAAATCTGGTCTATTTCTTGTTTTGACCCACTCCATCTATCTTTTACATCTTTGGCTGGCAGCAGACGGTGCAGAAGGACTGCATGCCATCCACATCTCATGGCTGCTCGGCAGAAGATGGTACAGTACGACTGCTAGCCATCCCCATCTCTTGCCTGCCTGGCAGAAGATGGTGCAATACGACTGCTAGCAATCCTCATCTCTTGCCTGCCTGGCAGAAGATGGTACAGTACGACTGCTAGCAGTCCATATCGCCTGCCCGCTCACCATAAGACGGTTCAATAGGACTGACTGCAGGACTAAAGAGAATGACCTGGTCAAGTCACTCCAAATTTAGTCCCTGCGCCCATGTCTGCCCAGGCGCTCCCAGCCGACGCGGCCAGGAGCACCTCGGACACGATGAGGACGACTACCAGTCGTATTGCACCGTCTGCTGCCAGAAGGCAAGGGGTTGCTGCTACTGTGCAGCAAAGCCGTACCACGTCTGCCAGCACCCAGGAGACATAGGGTGACGGTTACCTGAGCGGGCTCCATGCTTGCTGTGGTATGGCGTCTGCACAGGTAACTCAGGAAAAAAGGCGCGAAATGATTGTCTGCCCTTGCTTTCACGGAGGGAGGGAGGGAACGGGGGCCTGACGACACGTACCCAGAACCACCCGCGACAATGTTTTAGCCCCATCAGAGTGCTCCATTGTGACTGCTCTGGACAGCACTCTCAGATGCCCGATTGTTTGCCATTGCTCTGACGGAGGGAGGGGCGCTTACAGGGTTGGCTTCAGGGAGCTAAAATCAACAAAGGGGGTGGCTTTACATCAAGGAGTATTTCAGGCAGGACTTCACGGAGGGTTCCAATAAGAAATGGTGCACCTAAGTTATTGTCCTTATTGGAGCAAGAAGGTTAGCCTGGCCTCTGATTGATACATGGCTAGATTTACCTCGCTGCACCTTCTCTGTGAGTGACTGCAGTGTGACCTAGAGGAATGAGTCCCCTAGACAGGGGAGGAGGCAAATGAGTACAAAACAAATCTGGTCTATTTCTTGTTTTGACCCACTCCATCTATCTTTTACATCTTTGGCTGGCAGCAGACGGTGCAGAAGGACTGCATGCCATCCACATCTCATGGCTGCTCGGCAGAAGATGGTACAGTACGACTGCTAGCAGTCCGTATCGCCTGCCCGCTCACCATAAGACGGTTCAATAGGACTGACTGCAGGACTAAAGAGAATGACCTGGTCAAGTCACTCCAAATTTAGTCCCTGTGCCCATGTCTGCCCAGGCGCTCCTGATCGACCTCACAGAGGCGACCAGGAGCACCTCAGACATGACGATGACGGCTACCAGTCGTACTGTACCGTCTGCTGCCACAAGGCAAGGGGTTGCTGCTACTGTGTAGCAATGCCGTACCGCGTCTGCCAGCACCCAGGAGACATAGGGTGAGACATAGCCTGAGCGGGCTCCATGCTTGCCATGGTATGGCGTCTGCACAGGTAACTCAGGAAAAAAGGCGCGAAATGATTGTCTGCCCTTGCTTTCACGGGGGGAGGGAGGGAACGGGGGGCTGACGATATGTACCCAGAACCACCCGCGACAATGTTTTAGCCCCATCAGGCATTGGGATCTCAACCCAGAATTCCAATGGGCAGCGGAGACTGCGGGAACTGTGGGATAGCTACCCACAGTGCAACGCTCTGGAAGTCGACGCTTGCCTCGGTACTGTGGAAGCGCTCCGCCGAGTTAATGCACTTAATGCACTTAGAGCATTTTCTGTGGGGACACACACACTCGAATTTATAAAACCGATTTCTAAAAAACCGACTTCTATAAATTCGACCTTATTCCGTAGTGTAGACATACCCTCAGGGTTCTATACAGAGGCTTTCATGTAAAATCAATAGTAAAAGCAAAGTCCCTAGTGGACTTCATGGACTCTCTAGCACTCTCCCTTCTTGAGACCAAAACTCTTCTTGGGATAAGGTGGGAGGAAGGGATGCTATTTGGTTAGTTCTAGTATTTATTTATTTCCTCTCTTTTTTTAGTTTTTATTGGTAAGGATTTAGGGGTAAATGGGGTATCAATGTTGTGAGTGTAATTCTCACAATTGAAAGGCTTTTTCAAAGTGGAAGGTCCTCTTCATGTTTGGTCCTTCTTCGTTAGGATACTTACCTGATGAATTAACATTGCTATCCCTAGAGTGAGCTGTATGCATCACATTTTATCTTGCAAATCAAAAACATTAGGGGCAGTGATCCACTTACACCATTAACTCTATGGTTCAGTTTCAAAGCCCTTTGAAGTTACTGGAAACACTCTTGTTGATTTCTGTGGGCTTTGTGTCAGGCACTGTATGTGAAAGGTTTTTGAATTACTCAACCAATGAGGCTGGTTGGAACAGCAAAGGAAAGTGCTTTAAGAGTACCAGAGAGAACACATCGTGATTTGTCTTCTCTAGCGAGAGAGGGAGATGACAGAGTCCTCTAAGTTTATAGGCCTTAGTTCATCATCATTTCATGTAATTTGGCTGGTGCCTCTGAGCAGAGCACAGCTGTCAGACATCTATGCTTTGCACTGATATGAAACACACACAAGTACTCTTGCAGTGGGGAGAGAATGTGGTGGAAGAATCAGTGTTCAACACTAATGGGTGGGGAACATTTTTAAAACAATTGGGCAAAAACAAGCAAGAACAACTGCTTAGAAAATGGCAAAATAAATAGAGGGCTGGAGAGCAAAGATGACTAAATGATTGAAGATACATTCTCTTTGACTTTATTAACAATAGTTTTGTGTTTCTTTTCCACAAATATTTAGCTAGCAAGGTGTTTGGCAAAAGAAAGTGAATTCCAAAGTCACATTTAAACCCGAAATTCCAAAGTCATACCAATTTTTTTTTCAATTTTATTTTATTTTATTTTTTTACTCCATGGAATGACTGTGAATATTCAAAATATGCTGGGTTACTCAGTTGAGATTGCCCAGGTAAGACACATGGCATTCTTTCTGCTTCCTGAATGGATGATGGCACAAACAATTCCATGTAAAAACTTCTATCTTTATATGTTGCCAACTATA